AGTGCCGCGAGGGGAGAAGGACACACGCATACGCAGACTGCTGCGCACGCGCAGCTGCCGTCGCGAGGACCAGCCTCGGCCCCCGTCTCGTCCTCCAGCATCCGGCGAATCGGCGGTCGACTGAGGTTCTTTAGGGGCGAGCGCAGAGCAATGGATCCCGCCTTGTTCTGTTGGAATGCTCGGGCTGCGCTGCGCGGGGCCGCGGGCTCGGTGCCAGCAGGGACTTGCCATTAGGCTTCCGGGCGGCGCGTTACATTGGGACCTGCCCCAGAGACCCCGTTAACCCGGCCGGGCGGTTCACTGGCTGCCAGAGCAGAAATGCCGAATGTCTTTGTACAAAGTCTTCGCTAGCTTCCTTTCTCCCCCAATCTCCTCTGAAAACTGCTCCCCACACCCCTTGTCTGTGCTGCCCTGTGTCACTCACCTTTCATAGACTCCTAGACTATCAGGGTTGGAAGGGACCTCAGAGGTCATCTAGTCCAACCCCCTGCTCAAAGCAGGACCAATCCCCAACTAAATCATCCCAGCCAGGGCTTTGTCAAGCCTGACCTTAAAAACCTCTAAGGAAGGAGATTCCACCACCTCCCTAGGTATCCCATTCCAGTGCTTCACCACCCTCCTAGTGAAAAAGATTTTCCTAATATCCAACCTAAACCTCCCCCACTGCAACTTGAGACCATTACTGCTTCTTCTGTCATCTGGTACCACTGAGAACAGTCTAGATCCATCCTCTTTGGAACCCCCTTTCAGGTAGTTGAAAGCAGCTATCAAATCCCCCCTCATTCTTCTCTTCTGCAGACTAAACAATCCCAGTTCCCTCAGCCTCTCTTCATAAGTCATGTGCTCCAGACCCCTAATCATTTTTGTTGCCCTCTGCTGGACTCTTTCCAGTTTTTCCACATCCTTCTTGTAGTGCCCCAAACTGGACACAATACTCCAGATGAGGCCTCACCAAAGTGAAATAGAGGGGAATGATCATGTCTCTCGATCTGCTGGCAATGTCCTTACTTATACTGCCCAATATACCGTTAGCCTTCTTGGCAACAAGGGCACACTGTTGACTCATAGCCAGCTTCTCATCTACTGTAACCCCTAGGTCCTTTTCTGCAGAACTGCTGCCTAGCCATTCGGTCCCTAGTCTGTAGCAGTGCATGGGATTCTTCTGTCCTAAGTGCAGGACTCTGCACTTGTCCTTGTTGAACCTCATCAGATTTCTTTTGGCCCAATCCTCTAATTTGTCTAGGTCCCTCTGTATCCTATCCCTACCCTCCAGCGTATCTACCATTCCTCCCAGTTTAGTGTCATCTGCAAACTTGCTGAGGGTGCAGTCCACGCCATCCTCCAGATCATTGGATGGACAGATATAAAATCTGAACTCCATGACTCTGTAGGGTATTATCGGGATGTGATGTGATGTGTACACCTGTTTCGCTAGACATCTCCTCCCCAAGCATTGATCACAAAAGTGGCAGCTCCAGAACACTCCTGAATTGGTAGGAACACTATGGGCTGCTCTACTAGGTCTTATCTGTTTGCTGTGAAAGAAGCTGTACAAGGTATATTGTTCTGACTTCAGATCTATTTAAGAGATTTGACAGCATGCTGAGAGCCAGTAGCTGGCTTGGCACTCTGATCACTTAAGTGTTCCTTAGTCCCCTTCCTGATGGAGAAGTGGAATAGTTAATTACCTAATCAGAGTAGAGCAGAGGAGCTAATTATTGGTTAGCTGAGAGGGTAGTTAAAAAGCACTGGAAGTGCAATGGGGAGAGATTAAGGCCTGGTGTACACTAGAAAATGTGGTTGACATAACTACATTGCTTAAGGGTGTGAAAAATCCGCACCCCTGAGCTGTGTAGTTAGCCTAAACTAAGTCCCCATGTAGGCAGCCCTAAGTGCATGGAACAATTCTTCTACTGACAGCTGATGGGAGAACTCCTCCTGTAGGCGTAGGTAGTGTCTACACCAAAGCAGTACAGTGGTGTAGCTGTGTTGCTTTAGCGTTTTAAGTGTAGACAAGCCCTAACAGAGCCCAGAGGAAGTAAGATCTCAGGGTTGCGAGAGCTCTCTATCTCCCTGGACAAAGGGTTGAGGACTAGAGAAAGCTGTAGATAGAATTGCTACATGGGATCATGTTGGTGGAGGTAATATAAATAAAACTCACAGAGATGCTAACAGAAAGTGTCCAAAGCTTTTGTGTGGGTCTCAGGACAGGAGTGGAGCCTGCCCTGTTACAAGAATAATAATATTTGCTTGAAATGTTACAGTATTAAAACTAAATGTCGCCTACTACCTCTACCAGTTCAGGCAAAGACTTTCTTTTCTAGCATGTCACACCAGTGGTAATTGTACCTTTTTTTTTTAACCACACTCAGTCAAGGTTCTAGGTGCAGTTGCAACTTTTCTTCCTATGCTGAGCGTAAATGAACTGGCCATTTAAAAAAATAAAAAATAGTGGAAAAAACCTAAAGG